TTAAACTGGTAAACAATGTTGGAGGTAATGTAATGGTAGAATATAGTACAAAACAACTGGCAAAATGATAAATAATAGATATCATTTACAGAGCATTGACTACATAGCAGTCTCTGTATTATGTATTAACTTATATAATCTTTAAAACAACCTTGAAGGTAGACTACAATATTATTTTCATTTTATAGGTTAACTAAGTTGGAGTTAATAAGTAATAGATAGAACTTCCTCTGATTTTCCCTCCTAAGTTTATTGTATATTTTATACACTGACACGCATTCTTTTTATTTATAGTTTGATGAGATTTCAGAAACTTACACAGTCATAGAACCACCATCACCATCATGATGTAGAATATTTCTATCACTCCCAAAATGAACCTTTAGAATGCTTATAACCTATTGATGGGAATATAAATTAGTTCAGCGACTATGGAAAGCAGTTTGGAGATGTCTTAAAGAACTTAAAACAGAACTACCATTTGACCCAGAAATCTCATTACTGGGTATATATGCAGAGAAAAATAAATTGGGCTGGGCACAGTGGCTTACACCTATAATCCCAGCACTTTGGGAAGCTGAGGCAGGAGGAATGTTTCAGTCCAGGACTTTGGGACCAGCCCGGGCAACACAGGGATATCATCTCTACAAAAAATTTTAAAAGTTAGCCAGGCACGGTGGCTCCTGCCTGTAGTCCCAGTTACTTGCGAGGCTGAGGTGGGAGGATTGTTTGAGCTCAGGATTTGGAGGCTGCAGTGAGCCAAGATCGTGCCACCGCACTCCAGCATGGGTTACAGTGCAAGACCCTGTCTCAAAAACAAGAAAAGGAAAAAAAAGAAAAGAAATAGTTCCACCAGAAAAGACACATGCACTTGTACGTTTGTCACAGCGCTATTCATGGTCATAGAATCAACCTAGGTGCCCATCGATGGTGGATTAAAGAAAATGTGGTACATACACACCATGGAATACTATGCAACAATAACAATGAATGAAATTATGTTCTTTGCAGCAAGATGGATGCAGCTGGAGGCCATTATACTAAGCAAATTAATGCAGGAACAGGAAATAAATACTGCATGATCTCACAAGTAGGAGCTAAATATTGCATATCCAGGGACATACAGATGGGAACAATAGGCACTGAGAACTAATAGAACAGGAGAGAAGGAGGGGGGAAGGGCTGAAAACTGCTTATTGGGTACTATGCTCACTATTTGGGTGATAGGGTCATTTATAACCCTAATTTCAGCATCACACAATATACTTATGTAACAAACCCACACAAGTACCCCTTGAATTTAAAATAAAAGTTGAGATTATTTAAAATAAATGAACCCTGAAAGTTTGACTTAAGAGTATGGATATTTAAACACTCCGCTGAATTTTCTCCCAAATAGGTATATGTAGCCTTATTATTAGAACAGCAGGCAATTGCAGTTTATATAAAATATGTGGTATTTTCATCTTGCATTTAGATTGCCCCTCAGATACTTCATCTTTCCTTTAGAATGCCATTCCCATGTTATTACACTCTTATTAAAATACAATCAAGAACAAAAGTAGATCATAGTTCAAGACAGGAAAATACACGGCACCTCCACTCCTCCTTCCCACTCCTATGGAAAGCAATGCTAATTGATTATGGCATTCTTTGCTGCTTAGCCCAAGGGCAGCCCCAGAATCCTCTGGACATGGCATTTCAAGAACACATGACAAAATCAATGCAGGTTGCAAGTAAAATAAAAATTCCTTTGCTTCCCTGTGGCAATGAGATCATTGGCTTTAGAATCACACAAGCCAGGTTTAAATCCCAGGGCTACCATTTAGCTGTTGTTCTTGGGCAAGTCATTTAACCTCTGTTAGCCTCACTTTCCTCTTTGGTAAAGTGACAGTGAAGATACGGGGTTGTTGAAAGGAATATGAGAGAAAATCCATATAATTGGATTCTGCTAGAAAAAGTTGAGTGTGGCTTTGAGTCGGCAAACTTGCTGGAAAAAGCAAGAGGGGTAAGTGTGGTTCTGGGAGACCACAAATACAGGGAGCACACTGTGCCAAAGGGGGAAATCCATGTCCACTGAGCACTGGAGGAAAGTGGAAGCAAGGCACTTGGGGGAAATTACAATCCCCAGAAACCCCACTCTTACCCATGCTTTCTGGGTACTGGGAAGTAGACTTTGCAAACTCTCAAAGCTCCTATCACCAGAGCAGGAAAGAAGGATTTCTTAGCAATCATCTCACGTTTGTTTTCCTTCTGCACGCTGGTGTGCTGCAGAGTGCCAATTCTGCTAACCTCCCAAATAAATCACCGTTAATGAAGCATGCTGCACATACAGACAGCAACAGGCATTTTTTAATCACCTAAACTAAAGAAGAGCTAAAGGTAAGCACAAAACACTCTCATACCTAATATATTAGGTGTCAGATTTAAAGTGGCAAGAACCGTGTGACTTTCAGGACTTTTACTTGGATACACTTAGTGGGGAAGTAAGCCTACTAGTATATTCATCATTATGCACAGTTTGCCAATTGCTTGGACAGCCAAATCAGAAAATCAGATAACTGGTAGCCTAAAAGGGAGTCTATATCTGCTTAATCAGAAGCAGAAATAAGATTTCAAACATAAAAACTTAAGTTATAATAGGCTATACCAAAGTAGGGGGTTAAATAAAATCTACTATGCACTCTATCCTTTACTTACAAATTACCGACTGAACATCTAGTAACTGACATGCAGTATGATATAGCAATGAATAAGACAGGGTCTTCCCTCATAGAGATTATTTTACTCTACCGGGGAAAATAATATAATACTCTAAGAGGGCTGCAACAGTGGACAAATGCAACAATATCAGTCAAGAACACAAATGGTCTTTGTAGACAGACTTACATTCAAGTCTTGAACTTGTATTGTTTTAGGCAAGTTATTTCTGATCCTCCAACTTTATATCCATAAAACGGAGATACTGAGACTACTTCACAAGTTTGTAGAGATGTATATGAGATAATGCAAGTAAAATGGTTTACCACCATAATGCAAATGGTTTACCACCATATGCAAAAAGAACATAATCTTAAGTGTTGTTTTACTTAGAAGGAAGTCAGAAGTCATTCTCTTAAAATAATTGGAGTTGGCCAGGCACAATGGTTCATATTTGTAATCCCAAAATTTTGGGAAGTCAAGGCAGGCAGATTACTTGAGCCCAGAAATTCGAGGCCAGCCTGAGCAACAAGGTGAAACACCATCTCTACCAAAAATATAAAAAATTAGCTGGGTTTGATGGTGCACTCCTGTAGACCCAGCTACTCAGGAGGCTGAGGTGGGAGAATCACCTGAGCACAGGAAATCAAGGCTGCAGTGAGCCATGATTGTACCACTGCACTGTAGCCTGGGTGATGGGAGTGAAACCCTGTCTTAAAAAAAAAATAAAAATAATAATAACAACAATGTAAGTGGAAGTTGGGATAGGAAACCCTCCTACTTTTTAGCTAAGCTATAATATGGGATCTGCCATCTCATGTAATGGTAAATAAAATATGTATTCAAGATCCTGTGCCATTATATATTTATAGCTAAATACTGGATTAGAACATTCATCTGAAAATATTTGTTGAACACATGCAATATGTCAGACACCAGCAGTAAGCACTGGGTATCATGGTAAAGTTGAGTCCTGCTATCATGGAGCTTGCATTCTTCTGCATTTTCTAGGTTTATTTGCCTATGAACACTTACTCTCGAAGAGCAGAAGTACACCTCAGTATCATTATGCTTTAGTTCAGAACTACATGCAGATGGTGGGATACTTCCACACCATTTGACAAATACTATTGAATCCTTATTTGGTATAAAATCATTTTCCAGAAGCCTCCTGCAAATTAAACCAAACTATGTGAGTCTCACCTCCATTTTCTTGTCTTTTGCACCCAAATTTGGGTCTCAGGCATGAAAGATGATAAAGTGATAAAAATGACAAGCTGGGTTTTTTTTTTTTTTTCCTTGAGTACTTACTATGGTTCAGTTACAATACAAAGGTTCTGGACAGATTACCACATGCTTACAATAACTTGAGGAGGCAGGTATATGATTATTTCTATTTGTCAAAGAGGAAAGTGGGGGGCTTGGAGGGTTATGTGAGCCACTTATTTCTTTAGTATACCTTTCCCTACCTACTTACCTCTAGACCTGTAAGTGGCCAATTTCCTCCCAGTGTATTGTGTCAGGGCTGATAGCACTGACATTCAAAAATAAAAAGAGAGTAGAAAGCCAGTAAATCACTTTGCAAAGTTTGCCGTTCTCTGCAATGGTGGGGTACTTCATTATCAGATACAAACTAATATGACAGAATTACAGCACATGGATCCAAAATCCTTTGTATGTCAAGGGACTTTTTTCCCTTTTATATGAACAGCAGAAACTGTGAATGTGACAGTTTTTAAAAAGTTATTTATTGTCCTTATCAATGGGTGGTTATCCATCTAGTTAGTGTAATAGCCTGTTAGGTAGCAAGTGATAAATGTGTTCTTTGTTTAATCAGGCTTAGGCCAAATCGGGCAAACACTAACTGGGTCTGAGAGAACCAGATTTCAGGCCTAGCCTGTCACATATATAACAGATGTCTCTGTAGTTCTGAGTGTGCAATGAGTACATGCTGCCAATCTACTTTTAAGCATTCTATTTGTGTTCTTCTTTAAAATGAGATAGAGTGATCATTTCCAGTTATACAGTGAGTTTTATCCAAGAATCTCCAAAGGATAGCACATTAATTCTTACTACACTGGCTGAGATGAGGATTAGGGTTGCAGTATAATAATTTTTAGGCAGGGAAACTGAGGCATAAAACAGTATAGTGAGTACATCATGTTTAGGAAATTAAGAATTTATGTGTGTTTGTCTAAAACTAACGTGGGAAAATACTAATATCATGGTGGGAAAACTCAGTAGACTCCATATTAACCAAATAGTCAAAATTAGTATCACTAGTGATAAGACATACTGACCTCGTGTGCCCTTTGATAAGGTGCACTGAGAGGGACATAATACTCTTCTGTGGTATCTTGCCAACAATGCATGACCTCAATTTAAAAAAAGAGTAAACATCAGACAATTGAGTAATATTCTACAACAAAATTAACTAGTAGTTTTCAAAAGTGCCAGGATCATAAAAGGCAGGCAAAGGCCCAGGAACTGGCACAGACTCAAGAAGTGTAAGAAGAAATGAATGCTATAAATAATGCGAGACTGTAGATTGCAGCCTGGACATTATGGAAAAACTGGTAAACTCCTAATAAGGTCTATTGTTTAGTTAACGTGTTGTACCAATGTCAGTTTTCTGGTTTTGGTGATCATACTATACTTATGTACAACATTAACATTAGTAAAATCAGAGTGAAGGGCATATGGAAACACTGACATTTTTGCAACTTTTCTGCAAGTATATAATTATTTTAAAATAAAGCCAATTGTGCATAAGTAATTTCCTAGCTTGAAAATCAGAGTTTTTAATATCTTTTTGTTTTTATATCAGTGGAGCTATCCTCCTTGAAAGACATGTACATACAGCATGCCATTGCAGATGTTATATTTATAGTTTGCTGCAGAATTTCCAGAAAAAGTTCAAGGATCATAAAAGTTTGCCCACAGAAGACAAGCTAGTCATAGGAAAAACTATGTGAAAAAATAAATTCTGAATTCCCAAGATGCAATCAATATAGACAATGTTGTTACTTTGTTATGATTTAATTAAAATTAGACTGCTGAATATTCAAACTTAGGTATGAAAAGAACCAAGGTTACCATGCATTTTATTTTATTTTATTTTATTTTATTTTTGAGATGGAGTCTTGCTCTGTCGCCCAGTCTGGAGTGTAGTGGCGCAATCTCGGCTCACTGCAAGCTCCACCTCCCGGGTTCACGCCATTCTCCTGCCTCAGCCTCCCCAGTAGCTGGGACTACAGGTGCCCGCCACCATGCCTGGCAAATTTATTTTGTATTTTTAGTAGAGATAGGGTTTCACCGTGTTAGCCAGGATGGTCTCGATCTCCTGATCTCGTGATCTGCCTGCCTCAGCCTCCCAAAGTGCTGAGATTACAGGCGTGAGCCACCATGCCTGGCCTACCATGCCTATTAATGAAGAAAAAAATAAAGCCAGAATTTTGTACTTCTTGTATGCTAAAAATGAAGCATGTAGGTTTCCCCTAAATTTCTTATTTACTACTAGTGTAAGCTCCTTGCAATGCAATGTGAGATCTATGTATAAAAATATAAAAGTGGGAGTAACTGTTAACACTACATTTTAGCTTTGTTTGTGTCTTTTCCTGACATCAAATTTCGTCCTTGAATTAGCAGTCTAGGCCTATTGTTGGTAGGAGAAACTGCAGTAATTTTAGTTATCTGTGGAAACTAAGAAATAGTTGAATCATCTGCAAAAAAAAAAAAAAAAAAATCTGAGGATAGAATCCTAATTAGTGATAACATGAATTTTGAGACTGAGGTTATTTCAGAGATCTGGCAAAGGACAAAGAAAAAACATAAATAGTTTAAGTTGCTTTAGGAAAATTCAATTTCATGATTTGTTAAAGATCCATGCCTACATACAGTTTTTCTTTTCTTGCCTACCAGCCCCTCTCTTACTACATCTTAGCTGCAAATTTCAAGACAGCATTTTCAAGTTTAGAAAAAACTTTGTTCCATTTCTTTTCAACATCTGACCCTCCACCAACAACCTCAACAGCCACTAACTAAACTACGTACATCCTTAAGTTTGGACTTTAGGAGTTGTGTTTCTAAGCAGTGTTGAGTAGACATTCCTCATATGGTTAGAATACAGGAAAAATACAGAAATCACATTTCCAAATAATATATGTATTATATACATATACACACATGCATATATATAATGTGATTTTATGTATGTTTGTGTGTGTATGTGTGTATATGTGTATTTATATACACATATATAAAATTTATATGTGTATACATATATAAATTTATATATGCACACATATAAAAAATTTACCAGAGCCAAGCTGTTAACAGTATAATTTGTTCTGTGGAAGAAAAAGGTTTATAAAAAACCTACTTGTTTATAAAAAACCTACTTCTCACCCTTTTCAATGCCTCAGTGTGCTAGACTAGATAAGGTGTGAATATTTCATATATAGTAAACACAACATTATGCTGCATTCTGATTGAGGATAACTTCCTGAAGTATCTCATGCATTTGTAAGTAAACCATACAGGTTCACAGGGACAGACAGGGTGTGTAATTAAACGTTTGCATATTTGTATGCCCACCAGTTCTGCTGTCTTAAAACAGATGTTAAGGTGAGGCTCTTCTTGGTTAATTGCTGTTGTCAAGGAAAATGCCCAGGTTTGCCTCCACATTTCCTTCAGGTATAAAACTCAGGCTAGCCTCTTAGTGCCAATTTTTGTTTTGTTATAAATACAAAATAAAGCCTCCTTTGAAGTTTTAAAAAACACTCTAAAATTATTCCCTCTTTATGATTTTCCCAATAACCCTCAAATGGAAAGACAGTTTAATGTTTAAACTAGCAAACAGATGGTTTCAGGGAAAGAAACATTACCTAGTTCTTGGTTTCTTGTCATAAGGTAGGAGTCTTGAGAGCACCTAATCTATCTAAGGGATGAACCTGGGGTAATAGGTTACCCATGGCAGATTCCCTGGGAAAGCTTCATAATAGCTTAAGAAATTTTCACTTCTGAGCAGCCTGCCCCTCCAGGCCATTCTCCACACTCAAGCCACAGCTATATTACCATAGTACAACGCTGACCAAACCTCCAACTTTCCACCTACCTTACATACTTTTACAAAGTCAGTAAAGACCTGCTTAATCCAACTCTCACTGATCTCTGCAGCATAAATCTATATTAGAGTAGTACTATGCATTTGCTTGATGCATCAGGGAATCTTGTCTCCTTACCTTTGTACCTGCTGTTCCTCTGTCTCTCCCCTTCTGTGATTAGCTTCAAATTTGTAGCTTAGATGAACTCCAGCTAAAAGCTTTCTCTGATTTCATAATAACAGTTTAGTACTTCTCATAAGTGCTTTGACAGCATCCAGAATTTCTCTTATTAGAGAAGTTATCACATAATATTCTAACCTTTGTCTTTATGTCTTTGTTACTATCAGTGCCTTAAAGGGAGAGACACAGTCTCTCATATTCATTAATCAGTGTGCTTGGAAAATACTATACCTGGTAAATATATGTTGAACTGATTTAAACTATAATGGATTTAATTACCAAGGAAAAAGCAGAGTAAGGCCAACAGCTCAAATGGTTGTCAGGAGATAATGTGCTGGAACCTAAGAAAGGACTAATCAGAAAATTATCCAGAACCATTGAAGGTGGTTAGTATTTTTCCTGGTTACCTTTGTGGATAAGTGACTCACGAAGTTGACTCAGGGATTTAAGAAGATATTTCAATAAAGATATGCATATGACAATCTATATAGATATCCAAATTATTCGTTTGGAAACTTGTTTCTAAATCCCAGATACTCAAATTATCTAATATGACAAAAAGAATTTCAAGGTCACACGTGTTTTGGGGAACTGAGTCAGCCAACACAGACATATCAGTTTATTGTAAGATGTCTTACAGCCTTTAATAAGATGACGTTGAATTTCAGTGTATAAGAAGAGAGGTATTCTGTGCTGTGTTTCCCAGATTTACTTTTTCATCTGTGATAATCCCATTGGACAATTGTTCTTTAGAACTCATTTTGGGACCTCATTTGGGGCTCCTGTCATGTTTAGCAATGACTAGGAAACTATGAGCTTTGGCGAAATCCCTTACAAATTATGGCCCAAAGGCCAAATCCCAGACCCTAAGGCCAAAAATCTAACATCTATTTTTGTAAGTAATACTGGAACACATCAATGCTTGCTGATTTTGGCATTGCCTATGACTGCTTTTGTGGTACTATAGCAGAGGCAAGTAGTGTGACAAAAATCATATGGCCCATAAAATATATGTGTGTGTGTGTGTGTATGTGTGTGTGTGTGTATATATATATACACACACACACTACCTACCCATTTACAAGAAAACTTTGCTGATCCTCAATTTTCAGTAACTTTTTTTTGTTGTTGTTCTCAAGCTTTAATTTAAAAGTCTTTTCTGGGTGTAACAAAATCAGCTGGCCTCACTACTGATGTGTTACTCAAAATTACTGTACAAATGCAGGATTAAATGACCCACAAACTGGAGAAAGTATCACTGAGCTGACCAGTGGTACTTTGTAAAGCGCAATATGAATGTGACCTAAGCAAAATATGTTTGGATTTTTTTTGCTCTAAATCCTGTTTAAAAATTAATATATATTATAAAACTAGCAAGTCAAAACTTACCAATATAAACACATTTACCAAAAGGAAGTCTGAAACTAATACCTTAAAATACCTTATTTGGATAGATAATTTATTAAAACACTAAACATGCCAGAAATTTTAGTGAAAACAACTGAATTTTTATTTGATCACTTGAATACATACTGGTACCCTAAAACAACTAAGGTACTTCATTATAAAGATTAATTTTGGCCAGATAGGAAGAGAGCTGAACAAGGTATGTGATATAGATTAATTTAAACAAGATATCAATTCATATACAGTACACTGATTATTGAGATAACTTTTTTATTCCAGTTTGGTAGTTATGGAAAACGCATAGCTTTAACTCCTGGTAAAAATGAGTCTTTTGTGTTTCTCCAGCTGTTAATCCATACAGCTAAACTAACTCATCTATTGGTTTGGTTCAAAACATATTCAACATCATTTTCTAAGTGGCTAGAATCAATCCGTTTGATCATTAGTTTAATAGAAAATAGTGAAATGAAAAGAAATCATTCAGTTAATAGTAACTTTTGGCGATATAGCAGCAGAAATAAATATTTCCTCTCTTTCCATAATTCAGCAAAATTAGTTTGAAACCCAGTTTTCATATGCTTTTCTCTTCCTCATCCTTTTCAGCTTCCATCCCCCCCGCCAAAAATACTGGAAGATATTACTACTGGTTTCTGGCTCTGGTCCCTTTCTCCCTGTGTGTTAGT